CAGCTCTCATCACCTCTATGGAGACCATCGGAGCTAAAGCGCTGGAGGAGTTTGCTGACAGCATTAAGGTAGATCACACACAACCGCTTCAGTGATCGAAAGATTGCAAGTTCAATCTGTCGTGACATCAGGTGCAGAATTGTATTATTTTATTAATTTAGATAATTTTATTATTATTTGATTTATTGTTTTATTTAATTTTAAATGATGTATTATTATTGTTATTATTAAAATAAATTATAAACATTATTAATAATTTAAACAGTTAATTACTATTTAATTTACTTATTATTAATAATAATAGTTTATTTATTTATTAAATATTTAGATTATTATAAAATAATGTTTTAAATTGTTTTATATTATTTATAAACACACTCAATTTAATCGTTTTATTTATTAAATTAAATAAACAACCACTTTTAAATCATTTATTTTAAATAATTTACATAATTTACTTTTTCATCATTTTTATATTTTGTAATATTTAGAATGAATTATTACATTTATTTTAATAATAATAATAATTGTTTAAAATTAAATGATTTGTGTGTATATAATTTCAACTCATTTACTTTTAAATAATTTACTTTTCTTAATTATTGAAATTTAATAATTTTTTATGTTATAATATTTTTAATGATTAATTACATTTATTTTAATAATAATAGTTCAAAATTGGTATATGTTTTATACATTTTGTTATACTATAAATATAACATTTTATTATATTATAAAATCTAAATGGCATTCCTCATTATGCTCACGTCATTATATTAATGATTAATTTTATGTTCTGACATGTGATGTTCTCTGCTCCAACAGAACGATCCTGATAAAGAGTACAACATGCCGAAAGACGGAACCGTACATGAGCTCACAAGCAATGTAACATCACTTCATTGTCCATTTCGTAGAGTTTGTTTTAAGAGCAGACAAAGACACTCTTTTTCTCTGATCGGTTCTCCTCAGGCCATCCTGTTCCTGCAGCAGCTGCTGGATTTCCAGGAAACAGCAGGAGCGATGCTGGCCTCTCAGGGTAAAGCAGACACGCATATAAAAACACACTGACAGATAGATCCAAGAGATTCACTGCCTTTAGAAATGTGAAAAAGTATTTCAGACGCAGATGTCAGCTCTGTCTTGGGCTGCTGAGATGTCGTCCTCGCCCTCCTGTCTCCTTATGTATCATCTGTTCACATTTCCTGTGGTCTGCATTTCCTTTTCCTTTGGTTTTCCTGACAAACGTTCAGCAAACATGATCAGTGCCGCCAGCAAATTCAACCATTTTCAGCTTCTCTGCTGTCGTTTTTTTTCCTGCACCATCTTTCTCTAAATAATAATCATTAGCCCCTAAATATATACTGCTCAAAGTACCACTTTTGGCCTTCATTATTGCTCAAATTTTATTTTTATAGTTGCATCTGCTAAGCTGTCTTGCCTTATGATCAAATAATATTTCAGAAAGTAATATTATATGTTACTTATTTTCATTTAATTCAATCATTTTATTATAATAATTATTATTTAAAAACATTTTTTTTTTTCATTTTAAAGTATTATTATTATTTAAAATATTTAATATAAATATTATTAATATTAAATCAGTAATTTTATATTTTGTAAATTCATTGATTTATGTATTTTTATTATAATTAATATTTAATTTATTTTATTCAATTTTAAAGCATCATCATTATTATTATTATTATTATTATTTAAAATGATTAATTAATTATAAATGTTATTCATTAAAATATTTAGTTAAAAAGTTATATTATGTTCATTATGTTCTGTACATTCATTAATTTATATGCATTTATTATAATATAATCAAATTTTATTTTAAAGTATTATTATTATTACTGCTGTAGTTAAAATGGTCTGTGATGATCTGAAAGTAATATTGTAAGTTCTGTGTTCACTTATATAATTTAATAATCATTAATATTATTTAATGCATTATTTTAGTTAATTTTAAAGAATTAATATTATTATTTAAAATGATTACAATTAATTATACTATTATTAATTAAATCAGAAAGCAGTGTTCTGTATGTTCATTAATTTATATAGTTTTATTATTTCTTTTTTTATTTTCATTATTATTATTATTATTATTATTTTGTTCTGTACACTCATGTTCACAGCAGTGCATGTCACTCTGTAGCTCCTCCCACTGCTTCCTCAGCCCCGCCCACTCATCTCTGCTTCTGTCACATGATCCTGCTCTCTCATCCTGGCTGGCTATTAGTGGTGAAGCTCTTCACTAACAGAACTATTTTAACTTCTTGCCCTCTGCCTCTTTCTCTTTCTCTCTCTGTTCTGCTTCGCTTCTGTCCTGTAGTACTCGGGGACACTTACAATATTCCTTTAGACCCCCGAGGTAAGCGCTCGAGCGGACGAGTAGAGCGGGACCCACGGCTCCTCTGACTTTACAGTTAACATGAAACCAGAGCTGACTACATTTACTGTCCTAAAGCATGTCGTCAATGCATGTTGTACTGAAGAATAACATTTACAAACATGTTTCACTCTGAAATACTTCAAATTATGGAAGTATAATGGACAGCTTTCTTGTTTTGACCCCAGATGCAGAATTTTATTATTTATTCATTTATAACATTTTATTATTATTAATATTTATAATATCTTAATAAGATTTAGTGTTATTTTATGCATTGCTGTATTATTATTATTGAATATTATTTAAAAATAATTATTTTTTTCTTGTAATATAATATAAATTGTATATATATATATATATATATATAATTTTATTATATTTAATATTATTTAATTCGTTTTTTATGCATTACTATTACATAAAATTATTAATAATATTAATATTATTATTCTTAATATAATTCTAGATCATATAAATTGTTTACACACACACACACACACACACTCACACACACACACACACACACACACACTCACAGACACACACACACACACACACAGACACACACATGAACACACACGCAAAAGAATTAAAGGTTGTGATGTTTTAAAAGGGTCTTATCATGCATTTTATATCAGCTTTTTCCTCAGATCCTCTTTTTGTGCTAAATCAGTGTTATTTTAATTCTTAATGACCATTTTTCACTGTCTGCTCTGTCTGATATCAGACAGAAAGTTGAAAAGTTCAGAATTAATCACTTCTGCTGCTCGTTTTTGAATTGATGAGAAAGTTTTGAGTCCTGAAAGTTACTGTGTTTTATAGTCATCAAACATTTTAAATTTGGTTCCTCGTGATATACAATGATTTTAAAATCTATTCATGTATTAAAAATTATATTATTAAAAAATAATTTCCATTCATTGAAATTTAAAAGCTAAAATAATAATAAATAAATAAATAAAATATTAATATTTGATAAAAACCTTAAACAGAAGTTAGAAATGTTGCCTTGGGAAGTAACTAAAATAAGTTTAATTTGAAGTACTAAAATTACTCAAGCTAATGTAGCGTCTGGACCAATCAAAAACACAATTTTTCAGAGGTCAAGTAAATATCTACAGCGGATTTAAATATTTATAATTAATTATAACTAGTTATGATTAATTATTCATATTTCCCTTATGAGCTGATTCGCTACACTAAAACTAAATAGAATTTTTTTTTTTTTTTAATTATTTAAATAAATAAAAAAAGATAAAATCACATACAACTTAAAATTAAAACAATTAAAAAATGTAAAGCTAATTGATTTATAAAAAATTTAATAAATACTATAATAGTATATAATTAATACTAAAATAACACTGGTTGTGTTTGGAATAAATGATGTTAGATTTATTATTAGATAAGTATCTGATGTTTTTGTGCCGCTGTGTTCGCAGATAAAGTCCTCGGTAACCTGCAGCTGAATCTGTCCAACAAAGCTAAAGTGTATGAAGATCCGGCCCTGCGTGCCGTCTTCCTTCACAACAACTACAACTACATCCTCAAATCCCTGGAGAAGTGAGTCCATTCACACTCTTCATGCAGACTGATTCAGAACATGATTCATTCAGTTGCTTTACGCAGCTTCAGTTCACTGACCCATCAGAAACTAGAGCACACTCAGTACTGGCCAATCAGAAGACAGCTCTCCACATAATCACTCCCTTTATTTCTTCTTGAATAAAATGACTTTTTTTCCTCATTGAGCATTTTGATTATCTTAAAATAAGTCATGTTACAGAGGTCAAATGTGATTTAAATGCTGTTTTCTGTTGTTCAGGTCTGAGCTGATTCAGCTGGTCGCTGTGACCCATAAGAAGGTGGAGGGTTTGTACAGAGAGCTCATCGAGCAGGAGATCCAGAATTACCAGCGCAGGTATAGCCGCATCATCCAAACACAAGAACCATCCTGTAATGAATGAGTGAATGACCTTCTGACCCTCACTTACCTACAGCTGGCTGAAGGTCACAGAGCATCTGACTGAGAGAAACATCCCAGCATTCCAGCCTGGAACCAAAGTGAGAAGATCACACACACACACTCACAATCACACACACACAGACACACACATGCACAGACAGACACACACATGCACAGACAGACACACACACACACAGACACACACAGACATGGTTTTTCTACTGTAAAGACCGTATATTCTATTGCCCTACACCAACTCTACCCCTAAACCTACCCCTCACAGGAAACTTTGTGCTATTTCAGATTTTCAATACACTCCATTCTGTGCGATTTATAACCGTTTTGAAAAGTGGGGACATGGGGTAATGTCCTGAAAAGTCACCTTCTCCTTGTAATACCGATGTCATACCTTTGTCATTATACAAATTTATGTCCTCATTTGTCACAAAAACGCACACACACACACACACTCGCACTCTCTCACACACACACACACACACAGACACTGACTCACACACACTCTCTCACACACACACACACAGACACACACACACACAGATTTGGACAGCATGGGGTGGAGAGTGACGTCACTGGCCCGTTTTGTATTTGTTATTTCTGAGGACGGGAAATAGATACAATGTAAATTTGAACGGCACAAACCAGCACAAATCGAGCACAAACGAGTGGCACCGTTTTGGAACGATTTAGATTGCATGGGGTGGAGAGTGATGTCACTGTTCGTAAAAAGTTTATTTTTATTATATAAAAGAAGCGGTCATAGTTACAGGGTTTCTTTTAACGGCACAAACCAGCACAAATCGAGCACAAACGAACGCCACCGGTTTGGAGAGATTTGAAGGGCATGGGGTGGAGAGTGACTTCACTGCCCAGAATTGTTTTTTGTTATTTCTATGAAGGGGAATATATTTGATGTTCATTTTAACAGCACAAACCGGCACAAATCGAGCAACACACACACACACACACAGACACACACACAGACACACACACACACTCACTCACACACAGACACACACACACACACACACACAAATTCACAAACGCAGTTTTATTTTAGTTTGAAATTGAAATGCTATTATATTTATATTTGTATACATTGAAATACTATTATAGTTTTTGTTAATGTTTTGAGTTAGATTTGATTTAGTTTTGTTTAATTTCAGTTACTTTATAGTTTTGTTGTGATTTTGTCATGTTTATTCTTTTTTTCTTTTTTCTTTAAGTGTCTAAATAGTTTTACATTTTAATTTATTTATTTTAGTGTATTTATTTTAGTTTTAGTAATATTTTGAATTAGATTGTATTTTTATATTTTTTATTTTCTGTTTTCACTTTTGTTAAAGCTTTTATTAAAGCTAATTTTGTTGTGTTTTGTCATTTTTATTTGTTTATTTTTTTAAATGTGACATTTGTATATATTTATTTTAGTTTATGTAGTTTGTTATTTTAGTACTTTGAGTTAAGCAAAACATAAATGACGTAAAATATCTTTTTTTATATATTTTATTTTAATATTTTAGTTAACGTTTATTTTATTTCAAGTAACTAAATTGTTTTTTTTTTCTTTTTTCTTTTAGTTTTAGTTAACTATAATAATCATGCTGAAATGCAGACACAAAAGCTTGGCAAATGCATTGCAAGCATGCAGTCCTGATATATTACGCTCCGTTAATGCTTTATTATATGGCCGTTCTGATGCATGTTGGAATACAGTGATGCACGAAAGCACAAATTAAATAGTTTCATCATTATTTAGTGATCTCCTTTTAATCGTGCTCTCTGGTGTTTGCGTTTGAGCAGCTCAAAGACAAGGAACGACAGATCATCAAGGACAAATTCAAGGTGAGAGACATTCATGCATCTTCTGTAACACTTTAACTTTCTGGACTGAAGCCGCTTGGCTTTACTTGATCATCCAGACATTATTTTTTATAAGAATCATGTTCAAGTGCGAGTCTCAAATATGATCATCAGGCTTTTGAGGAGCGTTTATTTGTTCTGTTTTTTCCTCCATATTCTCATTCTATCAGACTATATGAGCCATAAAGCCTGATGGATGAAATATGATACTCGACAGAAAACACATGCAAGCCAGGCTTTGTGTTGTGTGTGTGTTTGCAGGGTTTTAATGATGGTCTGGAGGAGCTGTGTAAGATCCAGCAGGGCTGGGCGGTTCCTGATAAAGGGCAGCGTGATGCCATCCGACAGGCTCAGAAGAGAGTGGTTTCAGAGGCGTACAGAGCCTTCCTTCAGCGGTGCGACATTCACACACACTCACACACACATCATCAGGTCCTTTTTCAGTGTAATGAGCACATGTTTATATGCTTTTACAGATGCGCAAATATTTCATTCACCAAAAATCCAGAGAAATATCACCGATACTCACCGGAGCAGGTGGAGGAGATGATTGACAAGCTCTTCGACACTTCCGCCTAGGCCACGCCCACTCCATCACCATAGCAACGGAGTCTGTGGTTTCCTTGGCGACAAACATGCTACTTTGTCCTGTAAGACGTCTGCTTCATCAATCACACACTACACAACATGGAACGTCTTTGTTCGTTTTTGCTTGCTTTTTGTACAAATGTATTTATGTAGGCCTATATGTTTTTTGGGGATTTAACTGCAGTAAATAAAGAGAATTCACTCCTGAAACCTCAGCTTCAGGTTTCTTCAGTTCAGTTTCCTGTATTATTTTCAGGTTCTGTGTTTATAAGACACAGAAACACACATACACTATACACACACACGTGTATAAATTTCACAATGATGATGAATAATAATGATAAAATTACTATTTTTCATTATTATATTGTTTTTATGTGTAATAATTATAAATATATTAATTATTTTCTTATTTTTATTTTATATTAATTTTAAATGATATATATTTATTTTGATAATTTTTATAATGATATGATATCTATTTGAATTAGTTACTAAATTATTGTATTTTATTATTTTTTTCTTATTACATTTTATATTTATTTATTTTTTGTTTTATATTATATATTTTTTATTAAGTGTATATAGATATGCATCACAATATATATTATGTATTTAATTTTTTTTTTTATAAAACATTTTATATTATTTTTTTTATAATTTATATGTGTGCGTATTTTTTTTAAATACTGTATTTTATTATTATTATGTAATGATAGATAGATAGACAGACAGACAGATAGATAGATAGACCTTTTTGTGTAGAACTACATTTGTTTTGGTGATTTCTGAATTGTATGAAGTTCTTCTCAAATTCATAAAGTTGTCGAGGATCACATTAACTATCAATATGTTCCAATAACGAAAAACAAAACCAATGTTTTGTCTTGTACAACCCTTCAAATAGATAATGTAGTTGCACCAACATCCTGTTTGTTTTGCTTCTATCACAGATGATTAACGCTGCTCTGCATCCGCTCGGTCAGTCGGGTGTGGAGCTCCATTTTTAACCCTCACGTTTTTAATCAGTGACCTAAAATCAGCTTGAGTCTGTGATGACGCCTTCACGTCGCTATAAAGGCAGAAGCTGAATCAATGTGTCAAACGTACTGAATCATATCTGAACATTCCCGAAAATGATGAGCTATCGACCAACACCTACAGCAATTAGTCATCAATTATTCTTAAATCCAAAGGAAATGAAGGCATGGAAGCTGAAATTGGCACGTGTATTGTGTATTGTTAGAGCACAGCTGGATGTTTCAGAATGTGGAAGCGTGAAACTGATTTCACTGTTTGCCCACGTGTGTCTACTCCGGTGGGCGTCAGTGTCGGTGTTTTGGAGAAGAGGGCCGTTTGCTGCCCAGAACAGAGGCTTAGTGACCCAGACTGAGATTAACCCTTTCAGGCTATGACTACAGGTCATATATTATCATTTTGGGTCGGAGTTTAACCCTGAAAAGCCTGACGTATGAAACAATATTCTGAAAAATTTTGAATATTTGAATACTCTGAATATTTTGAAATGGAACCGTTTATTAGACAAAATATTGTTGAGGACCATATTAGATCCATCTGGCTTTTATGGCTCATATAGTCTGCTATAGTGAGAATATAAAGGAAAAACAGAATAAAATATGCAACTTGGTGCAGATGCTGATATTTATATGATGAAATTCTGATGCTTGTGATGTAAATCAATGAGATGTTTATAACAGTAGAGCAGATACTGACATAAAATGATCTAAACATCAGTCGTCGCTCTACATCTCCAGTAACTGAAGAAATAAAGGCTCCTCAGAAGATGTGAGATGTTCTGGAGGCTTGTGAAGATCATTCCTCCGCTGAGGAACAGTGAAAGTAAAGCTTCTGGAAACAAACGCTCCTCAAAAGATCCTGAGGATCAGATTTGAGACTCTAAAACATGATTGATGGAGAATCGAGTAAAGCTGAGCTGCTTCAGTCCAGTAAGTGTTCATCTGGAGATATTACTGCAGTTATTCTGACGCTTACTTGATAAAAATCAGTCAAGATTTGACAGCAGTGAAGCTCGAGCTGAAGCTGGACGTTTCTACAATTACACTAAAATAGCTTTGACTTGTTAAAAATGTATGAACTATCGATCAGACGACAGAATGCGTGGAGCAGATTGTGTGCAACAGCAACTTTTTGATCATGTTGATCATTTAGAGACATTAGAAATGAATAGGGTTAAAAGAATAGTTTAAATAGTGTTCGACAGAAGAAGGAGAATTAAGGAACTCAAGGCCATTTGAATCATTATTGTGATTCACTGATCTAGTTTCAGTTCAGCAGCAAGTGTGTTTTCCCTCACAGACAGACAGACAGACTCCCCCAACACAAGCGTGTCTGTTCCTGCAGCCAATCAGAGCACACTGGCCTCTATATAGGGAGTGCTGAAGCCATCAGTGGGATGCAGAACGACACACACCAGACCTGATCTGATCGGACATCCAGGTGAGTTGGGCTCTTACTGCTGAGTAAAGACTTAATGCATGTCTGTGAACGGCTTTAAAATTAATCTAGATGCACAATATTCATAGCGACAATGATCTGTGCCCTGCAAACACTGTGAATGCATGCAGAGAGATGATATGAGGTCAAGCAGTGACAGTAATGTCCTGCAGCATGCAACTGTTTCCTAAAGTTTCCTAATTCTTGAGAATTTTTATTTTATTATTTTATTTCAAAAAATGTGGAACCCCTATTTTAAGACATCCAAAGTTGGATAGCTTCAGATCATTTGCTCTTGGAATTGTTTGTTTATATTGAGACCGCTGACTTTGTAGATGTTTGGCGTCTAGACAAATCTATAAGCTCAGTTTGAGATCTCCTGAAACTCTCGAGGAGATGCACGTGAGACTATGAGGTCTTTTTCTCAGGAGAAACATCTCAGATCTCAGTCTCACTGCTGTCTAGGAAAAATATAAACATCTCATCTGTGATATTTCTGTTCCTGTGGGTGTGCATCTCAGAGGTTTAATCTCCACTCCGGGCCTGTTCGGTCTGATCCTGGTCTGATTCCAGGAAAAGTCATGTTTGTTTAGAGTCATATCTGGATTCTCACTTCTAAAGTCTTGCCTTTAGTGTGCTTTCCTGCTGAGCTGGGCTCAATGTGACACACTCCATTTTCAAACTACTTAGATTACTGGTTAAACTATTTATTTATTCTTGAAATTTTGTGAGAAGTTTTCATTTAGGGTAATGAGTGTGCAATGTTTCAACACATATAGATGTGTTTTGCAAAGGCTGGACAAATTTTATTAGCTTTAGGGGTCATACTGACCCCCATTGGTTTCAATGCAATTTGCCAAAATTAGAGTCAGGTTTATATATATATTTAAAAAAAAACTTCTCAAAGACTAAAATATGAAAAACATGAGACACAAAGTTTACTCGAAATTGAGACTCCTCTTCTGAATCATCCAGTGAAAATTCACTGTTTCTTTATCTAGTTGAATTTCACAATCAAAAAAACAGTCAAAGTTGTTTTTAGTTGTTGGGTTTTTAACTGAAAAGAAGTGTGAGAAACCCATTTTATCCTCACAAGGGTTTGAGAAAAATACAAATAGCAGTAGATACTTATACGCTAATTACAAATAATGTCATATACTGTTCATACTTATGGTTATTTGCACCTCAGTCACTAAGTAGAAAAAAAACATGACATTTTTGTAATATTTTGTGTCTGTGCAGCTAATTGTGAACATAAATATATGTGGGTCAAACTGACCCGGAACACAGTAGAAATAGCACTATAAAAACAGAAGGGAATTGTTACATTTCTCATATATTTTTAATCTCTAACAAGCCACAATAGAGGTTTTCTGTTCTCACACAAATCTTTAGTGTGTTTCATTGTGCTGGTTTTTGGCAAATTGCATGGAAACGAAAGTTACTCAGTTTAACCCTCAACACAGAAGTTGACCCAGTTTTTGAACACAAATCGAGGGTTAATCAAATGCACTTGTTACAGGTTTCAGCGTCCAAAGAAGAAGCAGAAATGGCTGGATTTTGCCTGCTGAGTTTGATTCTAGCTGTAGTAGCTCTCACCGTTTGTGTAAGTGTGCTTCATACTTAACTCGCTTCCTTTTGGAGAATGGTTTTAATTCTAGAAGAAAAAATAATAATTTACTTTTTTTGTTTTGACCTCCAGAGAGCCCATCGCCGACTCTCTCCCAGCGGTTTAAGTGAGAAATCAGGTACATAAACGTCATCTGCAGTCTTTATTTTCCAGCAGATTACTTGCAAATTGTAGTCCAAATTACTGATTCCAAATTATATGACAAAAATCGTGGTTAGTAACGTAATCCATTATATAACACATTTTAGGCAATCTAATATTTTTGTTTACTTTTAGATTTCTTTTGAACTAACATGTTTATGACGTTGATTTAAATAGGAAAATCGTGTGCCATATTGGCATAAAAATACAAAGAGAAAGAAAATCTATTCACTTCATTGTTATTAACAACATGAAGTGCATTAAATATTACATAAAAATCAAGGTTTCCCAAACTGGGGTTGTGAAGGAACTGCAGGGGGGGGAAAGCTAATAATTTCATTAAATCATAAAAAAAATTATTAAATTAAAATAAAATAAATAACAACAAATAACGTTTTTAAAAAATTGTTTTATTATTTGTTTACCTGCATGTCATGTGACCATTAGCCAATGTCAGAGAACCGTGAACATGCAAATTATGAATTATTTATTGCTATTGTGTGAAAAATATGTAATCATGTATTCAATAAAAAAGTAACTGTAATCTGATTATGAGTATTTTAAGATGTAATATAATCTAATTAAGTACTTGTAATCCGTGTAATCCAGATCACATGTAATCAGTTTTCCAGATATCATGTTTATTATGACTGTTTCCTCTGATCTGGATGTGTTCCTGCAGCTGTTCTGTGTCTGAATGGAGGGACGTCTGTCTTGTCTCCGTCGGGGCGTCACATGCTCTGTTTCTGTGCTGATGGCTTCAGCGGCTCCAACTGTGAAACAGGTGCGTATCACTCACGTGTGTTTATTATCATTTGCTGATGTTTGCATGCATTCATATTCATTTACGATGTTTAGTGGCAGATGAATCCATCTCCTGCTTTGATGGGATCGGTCTGCACTACAGAGGTCCCGTGTCCAAATCAGCGAGTGGGCGGGAATGTCTGGAATGGGATTCAGAGAGTGTGCGTGAAATTGGAGTCTATCCCAAGAATCTTGGCCCGGGACGACACAACCACTGCAGGCGAGTTACACTGAGTGAAGAGCCACGACTGACTGAAAATACTATGAGAACAAACAGACGCTGCAGAGCCTAAAGTCCAGACTTGCCCGGTAATCCGTTACTAGGAGTTCCCTAGAGACCATAGATAAGTTGAAAAGCTGAAAAATACAAAATCAACATGCATTTGTCCTGAAGGGATGGGTATGAATAGAACAAGAAAACTGGTGTAATGTTATGGAGCTCAGTTTATGAGCGAATCTCACGAAAGATGTCAAGAACACGAGTTGGGCATAATTCACCCTGAAGTTAAAAGAAATCATTGATATTACATTTAATTAAAAAATAAACAAATTATTAAAAAACAAATAAAATATTTTATATTTTAAATTAAACTTCAATTAAATTTGAGATTTTTGCATAAAATTAAGCTTTTTGGATTATTATTAATCAAATAATTATTTTGGAATAATAATTAATAACATTACAGTATAAATAAATTATATTTAAATTTTTAAAGTAAATTTTATATAATTTAAAATTATTTTTATTTTATTTTATTTGATCAAGTTTTGCATAAACAATTAAGCTTTTTGGATGATTAAGATTTTTTTGCATTGTTAGTATTTTAATGACAGTTAAGCACATTTACCGCAATAACATTTATTTATATTTTACTGTAGTAAATCAATACCGTTATACAGTTATTAATTAATTTAATTTTATTCAATTTATCAAAGTTTTTTAAGTTTTTAATAACATTTTTGGATTATTAGCTATGTAAATCAATACTTTTTAAATCGATATAAAACTAAAATTTTCATTAAAATCAACATTAATTAAAAATAGTCCAACACATATCAGCATGATGTACATATACGTTACAGTTTATATATTACAGTATGAGATTTTATTTTTTTATTTTTTTCATTCTGGTGTAAAAAAGGACCCAGACATGTTCTGGACAAGATTTGTGACATTCGCTCTTATTCTCAAGCCCAGACGTGAACATCTCCTGCAAACATCTTCACAAACACACCTTGCACTGTCTGAGCCTGTGCTGCTGAATCCTGAGTCATTCAGGAGCTGCTTAAGCCTAATGCCATTTCTCTGTGTTGTTCATTTCTCTTATCATGTCAGCTACATCCATCATAACTCGCATACTTGTTCCAACACCAACAGAAACCCAGACTACAGCCGCAGAGCCTGGTGTTACGTTCGGACCGCGTCTAGGATCATGAAAGAGGACTGCGATATTCCACGCTGTGCAAAAGATCACGGTACGATTCCGTCCTTTTCACTGTGTTAATGTAATATTACTAAATATCTGTAAATATCTGACATATGAAATGGTTTGATGCAGGTTCTGACAGTCTGACGGGCGTACAGTCCGGTGAGATCATTTGATGTTCATCATTGTAGACGCAGGGGTGCCCAAACTCGGTCCTGGAGGGCCGGTTTTCTGAAGAGTTTAGCTCCAACCCCAATTAAACACACCTGAACCAGCTAATCAAGCTCTTATAGGCATACTAGAAACTTGAAGGCAGGTGTGTTGAGGCAAGTTGGAGCTAAACTCTGCAGGACACCGGCCCTCCATGACCGAGTTTGGGCACCCCTGTTGTAGAGCATCTGTCTGTATTCGCTGCTGTTTGATTGGCAGGCTGAACTATCTTTCATCCAATAGGCTGGCAGTGTGGTCAGAGGGAGGAGCGCAACATGAAGGTTGTGGGCGGGGCTTTGAGCTCGGTGGCGCGCCACCCCTGGATGGCGGCGGTGTT